TGCTCTAACTACATTACACTTATCATAATGAGGAAGTTAACATTAATACTATGAACTATTCAATTAATACATACTTCACATTTCACTAGTTGTCCCACTAATGTTCTAATGTCCTTTTTAGCAAAAGAAAAAAGTTCCTTTTTTTCTTTTTTTGGTTGGGTATCCAATCCAGGATCACATGTTGTTATGTCATCTCTTCCTATTCCCCTCTAATCTGCAACAGTTCCTTAGTCTTTTTTTGCTTTTAATGACCTTGATATTTTTGAAGTAATACCAAATAAATGGCCTGTACTCTTATTAGTATTGTACTCTTATTTCTACTTATTTAGTAGAAATTTTTTCTGGCCTTACTCTATGAGGAAATTTGATTTTAATGGAAATCTATATGGTGGTATTATAAGAGTAGGGTATCTCCTCCCCCACCCTTTTATCCTGTTAAGTCTGTACAACATTGGTACTTATATCTGGCCTCCATCAAATCTTTTCTCCTTTTTACCTTTCAGAAACACCAAAGTCTTGTACCAAGTCTTCTAAAAATTCCACTCCAGTTCCTTCAAAGCAGTCAGCCAGGTGGCAAGTTGCAAAAGAGCTCTATCAGACTGAAAGTAATTATGTAAATATACTGGCAACAATTATTCAGGTAAGTATGAGTCTGGTGGTAAAATGATTTCTGTTCCAGTGTTCCTAAGTAAAAAAAGTCCAAGTGATCCTGTTTCTTATAAAAAAATTATATAAGCATATAATATGATCATAGATATTAAAAATGAAAATATATGACAAAAATTGCTATTAAGGGAATGCCATGAATGTAGTATTACCTTTTATTCATCTGGAAATAGTACCATTTTAATACTGACTTTAAAAGAGAACGGTCCTCAATAGATGATCTTTAGAGGAGATTGAGCTTAATTCAGAACTTTGCAGGCTCCTTGTCAAGATACTGCATTTATATTTGGAAGCGGTAGATAACTTCTTCTGAAAATATGTGTTCTAGAGTCATTGCTTTATTTAGTACTGTATATATGTGAAAAAAGATTGTTTCAAAGTAGCAGTGAAGCATAACAGTGTCAATGTTGGTAATTTTTTTTAGTAATCCTTTTAATGTGACACATGAAATATGCAGTAATTAGCCATAAATAAATGTTAACTCATTGCTTACTAATATTAAAATGTACTATGAAGTTATTTCTGAGGAAAAGTCAATTCTAATGAATAATCTTTGTAGGACGACATTAAAGAAATTAAGGAATAAACTGAAATTTAAGGTTCTGAAAGACATAATAGGGCATTATTTTGGTATCTATAGGAAGAATGAATAAATTTGTTATTCCGTCAGGAAAATGATGTTGTTACTACTAAGTTTATCCTTCAATAGAAAAACCATAGGGAGTTTCTATTTGGGTTTAGTTTTTTTTTTTTTTTTAAAGACAGAGTCTTGCTCTGTTGCCTGGGCTAGAGTACAGTGGTGTGATCACAGCTCAACTACAACCTCACATTCCTGGGCTCAAGCGATCCTCTTGCTTCAGCCCCCCAAGTAGCTGGGACTACAGGCACATGCCACCATGCCTGGCTAATTTTTCTATTTTTAGTAGAGATGGGGTCTCGCTCTTGCTCAGGCTGGTCTTGAACTCCTGACCTCAAGCAGTCCTCTCCCCTTGGCCTCCCAGAGTGCTAGGATTACAGGTGTGAGCCACCGGTCCTGACTGGCAATCAGGGTTTTACAAGGCCTCTGTTGTATTAAATTCTACTTGTTTTTAGTCAGGTTTGCTCTTCTTTCTCCAGGGAAATCAACCTAGATGAGTTTCTTGTTGAAGTTTTTATAGTAAGCCAAAATATGGTTGAGTAGCAGAAAGTCCCTTTGCCATATACTATCCATATACTTTGGTAGCATTTATTGCCTAGAAATGTAACTCTTTTTAGACCATGGTAAAATGCATTCAAGTTTCAGAATTCTAATTTGCATGTCAATTAGATTCACTAAAACTCCATTGAAAAAGCCCATGAAATTAGGAAGCTGGAGAAAAAGTTTTATACCACATTGCTTAACATAAACTCATGGAAGGTTTTATTTAAAAGATTGTGGCCTAAATTCACAATAGTGTTTTCTTTAAAGAGCTTTGATTTAGGACTGTTTTCTTTTTTTGGAATTGGATTTAGAATAACTTAATTTTATCTTATCCCTCAAATTAAATGTATATCTAGAACCTTCTTTATTTAGTCCATGTAATACTCAGGTGCCCAGTTAATAAAAAATGTGCCAGGTATTAAAGAAGATTCCCATTTTAAAGAAGCTTAGATTGGAAGAGGAGATAAAACATACACACTTAATTATAATATGAAGTAGAAGATTTTGAGCATCATGAGGGAGGTTTAGAAAGGTATTAGATTTGTGAGATGGGTTTTACTACTCTTTCAGCTTAGGGAAGGAGTTGGGCTAGAATTTTCTATGGGTTGTACATTGGAAAAACTGTTGTAAAGTAACAGTTGAAGTGAATTTTAAAATGTAAGTATGATTGGTACATGCAAAGAATATGGGTGGAAAGTCTGAGATTGGGTAAACAATACAGATGATTGAAGAGGTGTGTCATTCAAGGTATTGTGAGTAGTAAGGATAGGGTAGGGGTATGGACACAGTGAGAATTGAGATAAGACTGCCTGTGCCAGACCAGAGAGAAGGCCTTTGATGTGCTATGCCATGTGTAAGCTATAGAAGAATTTTTAAATGGGAAGGGGCATCAATGATATCATTTGACTTGCATTTCAGAAAAATAACTTGGTTCACTTTGAAGGGAGGTATTGAAGAGGGGAAACTGGGGCAACAAAGAGACCAATTTGGAGGCTGTTTCAGCAGTCTTTATGAGAGATTTTGAGGCTCTGAACTTTTTAGGATAGTGTCAGTGAAAATGAAAAGAGGATAGATTTGACAAATATTGGAAAGGTAGAATCAATAGTTTTTAGCTACCTAATTTTATTCGGGGTACTAAAGCAAGACTGTACACAGCAGAACTGTTTTAGAACAGTTCTTCAACATGTCTTAAGGCTACTGAAAGTTTTTAATGAACCTCAATGTATTTTGATTGTCTGAATATTTTTGTGTAGGATTTTTAATAAAACACTGACTAGATGAAGGAATTTTTACAGATTATTACAAATATCTTTGAAACCTCTATTATGTTTTTCTCCAATCCTGTGTTCTCTCCTCTCAGAGATAATCATTATCCGAAATTCGGTGCTTGCTCATCACCGTTTCCTTTATAGATCTATCATAAATGTGTAAGAAAATGAGCTATATAAATATAATCATTATGTATTTCAGTAACTTATTTTTTTCACTGATAGAAATGTTCTTGCGGCTGGATGCAGTGGTTGATGCTTGTAATCCCA